TAATTTGATATAGGGGTTTAGGTATCTACAGCTTAAACTGCACGCGCTACATCGCTTGCGCGCGAGACACCCCTGAAGGTATACTGTAACCTTAAGATACATTTCAAACTTGCAATTGCAGTTGTGGTTCAAAAATCATAGTAAATTCGTCTAAGACGTTCTTTCTTCGTGTTTATATTCCGTTAGGCGAAATGTTAATGCAGATGTTCAGTTGTTTTTATTAAAATCGGCTGACAGTTGAAAGTAACTAAGTTTTATGATTGGATGAACCAATGAATTTGTTTTTTCTGAGTGCCGGAAAATTAATATATCAAGGTTCACTAAGTAGAAGAAAACACCAGTTGAAGTCTCTCAGTTTAAAGGACTGCTTCGCGGGTTTCTCGTTGTATCTGCAGATTTTGTTAGACTGTAGTTAAAACACTGTTAGATTGTACATTTTGGGATCGAGCAAGCAAGAAACGAAACTAAGACAGCGAAATTATCAATGGATTCACGAGCGGTTTACATGGTTATGCCGGCCTGTTAACAAACAAATAACGACCTTGACGTTCTTGTTGCATAACAAAGGTTAAGATTGTATCATAGGCAACTTTATTTTTGATTTCTTTGGCTCGGCTTACCGCACTTTGATTTCGTTTCTTTTAGACAAGACATTGAAAAGAGAAGAGAAAACCTGCAGTTATGAAGATGATAAGTCTGTTCAGCCATCATCAATAGAACAGACAAAATGGGACAGGTGGGAACCTCTCGACATGTCTGAGTACGAAAGAAGCGTGGAGTCAGTTCATAACGTCGTGAGAGAATTTCAGCACAAGATCTCGCGCTATCCGCGGACACCAATGTTATTTCCACCCTCTGACGATTCTTCATCTTTGCACTCTCTACACACTTCATTCTTGGAAGAACCCTTCCAGACTCCCACTCATGATTCCACTTCCGCCATTAAAGAATCTGAAAAGATGGGGAGAGAAAAGCCATTCCAGTGCAACTTCTGCGTGATGTCATTCACTCGCCCCAGTGATCTTCAGCGCCATCTTCTCATCCACAACAACAACAAGCCATACAAGTGCGAGGAGTGTGACCGTGAATTCACGTGGTTCGGTAACTTTCAAAAGCACGTGCTTTCACACATGGGAGGCAATACCAGAGCACCAGGGACTTTGCCCTTCTCCGCGATGTTCACGTTCCTAGCACGTGAACAAGTGAAGGATCTTTTTATCAAGGATGGGGAGAAGTACAAGTGCCGATTGTGCGCCAAGGATTTTACACGCCTCAGTGGTTTGAAGACCCACATACGCATGCACACTGGGGAAAGGCCATACGTCTGTGAAGTCTGTTCTTTTGCGTTCACCACATCACGTGCTCTCAAGATGCACGTGCGCTTGCACACTGGAGAGAAACCGTACAAATGTGACGAATGCGGGCGCGCTTTCACAAGAAGAGATGAGATGCATACTCATATGTACATCCACAAAGGTAAGTCACCCTGGTTTCTGTTCAGTTTTTTTTTTTTTTTGTTCACTAAATAAACAGTAATTTTGTAAGCAAGATTAAAGAAACCTAGAAGTCCAGGCTGATAAATTTGACGAAATCTCGGATACAATAAAATAAAACAAAAATGTGGCCTTGAACTTGACAATATTAACCAGCAAGTCCCTACTTATTTGTTTAGTTCTTGAATCTAAATTTGGCTGAATTTGGCTGCTTTATCTTGGTTCTCTTTGGCAATGACGTTATAAACGAGGGTATTAGAGGACTGAAATTTCAATGCTGCAAGGAAAAAGGTTGCAAAGTCATGACTGTTTCAGCTCAGTTGTTTATTTACTATGTCAGTTGTTTGTATTGAAAAAAACTAACTGATCATGTTCAGCACCGCTTTCAGGCTATTTTTTTCAAACATTAGCTGACTTTAAGTTATCTAGCGAAGAGCTAATTGAAAGTAATGTAAACATTTTCATTGTCTCTCTGGTTGTTTTTCGCGTATTATTTTGTTATTTAAGTAATAGCACAGGGACAAAATCAAACCTTTTCCCTTGAAGCGTTTGATTTCTTAACATGACTCAACACCTTTGTCCCTGATTATTGCAATAAGAGTAACTTCAGATAGTGGCGGGCAAACGTAAAGTATCCCTTAAGCGCGATTACGCCAAAGGGGCACTGTGAGAGTGCTTTTGTAAGTCTTGAACGAATTTAATTTTATATCTTAAATAGTAATATACAATTTTGAAGTTGTATTTTTCTTTTGTCGTAACAGGAGAGAAGCCTTTCAAGTGTGATATCTGTTCAGCGTCGTTCATTCGTTACGGTCATCTGCAACGCCATCTGTTAATTCACAGCGATGACAAACCTTACAAGTGCAAGGTGTGTCCCAAATCCTTCACACAGTACCGCAATCTCCAGACTCATATGTACAAACACACGGGAGAGAGGCCCTACAGATGCAGGTACTGCCCCAAAGGATTCACCCAATACGGCACTCTGCAGGCGCACGAGAGAACACACACAGGAGAGAAGCCCTTCCAATGCCAATTCTGTGAAAAGGCTTTTATTACGTCATCACACCTTAGATGGCACATTAAGACTCAACACACTGCAAAGAAAGATTAGATAATTGCATGTAGATGTGTTTATTCAGCAAATGTTTGTAAATATTATAATAAGCGTTTCTGGCGCCAGTAATTTCACTATAAATACGTCAGGGATACGTTAATTGTTCAGTCGGTAGCTGCATGTCAGGGAGTTCTTGTATAATATTTTATTAACATTCTAGATCATTAATTAATGAAATGGTTGATTTGGTTTTTGGGTTCGTTATATAAAACTTACAAATAATTTTTTGGTTCTCTTTTGACTTTTCCCTTATTTTCTCGCGCCGTTCATCAATTTATTTGGCAGTCACTAACTCTTTAGCAAGGTTTGAACTTCTGTAAACTCCTTTTTGTGAGTCTTAAGTTATATTCACTGCGTACAGAGGCTAAGGGGAAAGGAGGTACAAAAATGATGGATCAAAGAAATGAATGCTTCTAAACTTGAAGAAATTTAATCACTGCATGATTGCCAGGGTACCAACCAGCAATTTGGAAAGCGAGATGGACACTTCTTGTGAAGAGAAAAAAAATTACATAGAATTGCGATTTAGGGGTTAAATGTAGTAATTTTTATGATTACTATTTAGCTATAGAGAGGAAATTTATCACACGGGAGCAACCTCGTTTCCAGGGCTTTTCCCTGTAGCAGATGAGGACAACCTTGATGAATTCAAAGACAGGATTGTACATCGATAAAGAATGAAGATGCATATATCTTTTTTAAAATTTCAATCAATAAACAGCTTGGGTTACTGCAAGAAAAGAGCATTCATTTTTTTCGCTTCCGTGTTTTTTAATGCCTCATCTGGGACCGGCCGGGAAATATTATGGGTTAGAACTCGGTTGCGAAGTTGTGAAACATTTGCGGTCAGCGAACTGAAGTGATTTAGAGATAACGCTGTTTGAAGACGCTGATCATGAATTGGTCCCTCTGAATCATGATTTTCTTTCGTAGATCTCAGTGAAATTCTCAATAAATGACTTTTAAAATTGAGGGTATCTATTTTGAAACTGAACCGAAAAATTGGAGCTACACTCGAGCAATGAAGGTAGGAACTCTAAACAGCATCATAGATAACAGGGTGTGACCGAGTGGTTTAGGGCGCTGGTCTCGCAAATTTGGGTTACTGGAACTGGAAACCGCAAAGGAATGGGTATCAGAATTGGGGCAAAAGGAGGCTAGGAAAAGGGATTTGAACAAAAATTGGGCCGGGAACCTCCCTGCCCTTAGCCTGCTTCAAGACCCACCTCACAAACCCGGTTTAAGGTCATTCCGCTGAAATAGAACCTGCAATGAGCTTTTTGTGAAACTTTGCCTATCGATTGTTTATATTATAGGAACTTATATTTTGAAATAAAAATGAGGGGTCCCCATGTTCGTTTAGGAGCAAAAGCACCTTGTTTGTACCCATATAAATCCTTATAATAGCACCATGATTGTAGTTACGATTGCTTGCTAAATTCACGTTTCCGACGATTGCATTTTGTTTTACACTGAGAATTGGTCCATATTTATTTTACACAGAGAAATTTATTACTCAATTCAAAACAACAGAAAAAAATGATAGGTCACCATACTCGTTTGCGAGAAAATGACGATTTACCTCTATGGCGAGGTCCAGCTGTAAAGAAAAAGCAGCCATTTTTTAATGCGCGCGCAGTAGGGATGCGCAATGCAATACTAGGGAATGACATTAAATGAAACGCTAAACCTGTTGCCTTTTTTCATCTACACTCCAGCTCACAGCACGGTGAGTAACTTGTCATTTACTCCGATGACAACTTTTCGTTAGCAAAAGCGTGTAAACAAAATGCAACAAATTTCCCCCCCTGAAAGAAAGAGACCGCTCACCGTTATGACCTGGGACCAAGCTTGTGATCCAAGCCTCCTCCATTTGCCTGCAGAGCGCCTGGCAGTCATTGCATTCAAAATGGCGGATCACTGGGTCGCAGAGGTCTTTCCTCCAAAATTTCAGTTTGGGAGTGTAGATGAATTGCTAAATGGTCCAGAGGAAGATGAAAAAAGTAAAGAAAAGGTTAAATGTCTTGATGAAGTGTATCGAAGAGTTTATTTTGAACAGGAAAAAGCCAAAAAGTCAACCGATGATGAGTTGCATGTTGATTTGGAGCGCCTTGAGAAAAGTCGGAAAAAGCGACTTGTTGGAAAAGATAGAAAACGAGCAAGCAAGCAAAAACAAAAGGATCAAGACGAGTGTATATGGAACGAAAGTGAATTGAAAATGCTGCGAAAGTTCCTACAGAAGGCTAAAATGCAAAATCTCAAACTCGCTGCCATGTTGCAATCGGCACAAGATGAGATTAATACTTGGAAAGAAAAGGTTAAGGAGGTTACCGAATCGGACGAAATTATGAATAGCAGCTTCCGCATTTTTAAAAAGAAATACGAGCGACTGAAGGTAAATTATAGAGCATTGAAGGACGACGTGAGAAAGTATCACTCGAACTTGAAAGTTTCAAGAGAAGAATGTGAACAACTAAAACTCGAGAGGGATGACATAGCAAAGTCACTCAGTCAAACAAAAGCAGAACTGAATATAGAAAAACTCAACAATGAGCACCTTCAGTTAAGATTAGATAAAAAGGAAGAGGAATGCACAGAAAATCTAAAGAGCCAGGAACAATTTTTGGAACAGCAACATCTGCTTGAAATAAGGAAATTACAAAAAGAAGTTGCTAGGTTGACAGAGAAGTTTGATGAAGAAAAGCAAGATAATGATTTAAATAAGAGAGCACTTGAGCACCTAAGAAGTCATTTTGCCAATTTAAAAGTCAGTCAGGAAAGTAATGATGGTACTAATGCAGTAGTAAATATGTTAAGTGTTATTGACATTGACTATCTGCCAGCATAAAATGGTACAATGACCGATGAGATAAGACCTAATCCAATCATAATTGAAGAAGCAAGGTATCCCTGCAGTGCTGAGCCATATTTTAACTGTATTTGCATTAATTTTTCAGCTTCTGACTGTGAAGTCTAGTAAATAAATATCTCTTTGACCAAACACAAAGGCTATTCTGGGAGATTATTGACCCGAGGTCTTTACAGTATGGACTGAGCACAGGAATGTCTGTATAAGTAAGACCAAGGGCAGATAACCAAATTAAGTTAAACATACATACTGTCATGTAACATATCATGTCAATATAGTCTGGGCCAAGTTTGGGAAACAAACAGAATATTATCATCCAGGCATTAATGATAAATAAACCATTAACTTTAAGAAAGCAATTCTAATTGAAAATATTTCTACCTTCTCAATTTTCAATATTTCTATTCTTTTGAATTTTCATTTTAATTCTAATTGCGACCAAACTTGTCATTTACACATGTCTAGTGTTTTTAAAACAAAGCAAAGAAGGGTGAAAAAAATGTATGTTTTACCTGCAAGTTATTTCTTTTAGGAAAGTCAATCCATGAAACTGTAAGAAAACCTTTCTGAGTGGTCGAATGAGATTATATGGGACAGCTACCCAATCTAAAGTTTCCAAAATATTAAACTGGTTTAATAGAGCAATCTAATTGGTTGATTTTAATGATTGGGCCCCTGAACTAATGTAGTCCTGTTATAATCTCATTTATATGACTGAGAACATTACTTCATTGTGATTTGCTGAGAGCAGGCATATTTATCTCTACATTAATTTTAAATATGCAGTCACTGCAAATTAACATGTATTTTTAATTTTCTCAGTCATTTAAAAAAAAGGAGCATTATTTTATAAAAACTTGAAATGAGAACTTAAGGATTTATACTATGTTACTTGTAGCTGAATAAATTGCAACCATACGGACTATACGTAATTAAGTTTGTTGCTATTGGATCGATTCATTTACTTGTCAAATTCAATATCAAGTAAAAGAGTCTTTTTATTGGAGACTTTATTTCACTACAGAAAAATCCCAATTTTTTGAACCTCCAAGGGAGACGATAATTGGGTTGAAAAATCAGGTAATTTGAGAAATTGTGGATGTAATTTAAATGTTTGACTGTAAGAAGGGAAGTTTTGTAACTTAGTTTAGTTGAGTTAATGGTAGGTTCCAAAAATCCAGGGTTTGAGAAATCATGATTCGCCAGTAGCTTGTTTGGTCTTCATTTGTCCCCAATTTATTGAACTCTTTTGCAAACAAATAGTCAGCATATTCATGTGTAGTAATGTATGGAACAGGACCTATGAACCATCGGCCAGCCCTATTTAATTTTGCTTCACTGGGAGAGCCCTGTAGCTCTGTATACCAAAAATTTTAAGAATTACAAAAAGTTCTTTGGCTATCAAATAAACATCAAAAGTTCCCTTCAAGTTAGTAGCCATGTGAGCTCCCATCAAAGCTGAGAGACTGGTGGACTGGTTTTCCGTTGATGATATAAACGAATTCAAGAGATTGATCTAATGAAAAATACGGAAATAAATAAACGTTTACCTAAAAAAAAAAACAACAGCAACAACAAAGCAAAGGAAAGACAGTTGCATTCTGGAACCACATTTGAACCTTTTGTCGTATTTTGCTCGAGCTCCTACTGTATGCAGTTTATCCCAGCTATTTTAATTGTTCAGGGGAACAAACTAAGGGTGCTATCAAGCTAAAAACTGGCTATTCCCTAGTGCCCCAGGACCATGGTTTGGTCTCAGCCCTAAGGACTCTAAGCAAACATTATGTGAGGAC